AATACTAATGTAATAGATTCGAATAGAATCGAATCGGATCGAATAGGCAAAAAGCTCCTAAAATGATTCGTCTCGGGTTTTTATAACCTCTGCTCGCTGACTCGTCGTCTTCCGGGTATAGGGGCCCTCCTACTCTGACGTGATTTTGGGTCGGTGTGGCTTGATTATTGGTTGTCGATCGAGAAGGGGTTGACTCTTTTTGGTAGGCCGCCTCCTCCTACTCAGCATTTTCCGTCTGCCATAGTGCTTATGGCCCACTTCATATAGCCCTTCCGTATTGTCAGCGGTTTACGCTGCCGCGTTAACATTCTGATTAGTCAGGAATTGCTTGTACACTTCCTTGTAGACCCAAGCTTCCCGGTTCATGTCCTTATTACTGTTTTTTAGTCTTACCGTCTAGTTATTGTGATTCCAAATTTACCCCAAAAAACTACATCTACATGTACGTAACCTTTGCTCCATCACAGGCATCAAAATAAAAGCAAACTCCTTGGCATTATTCCACAACCGAACTATACCGACTGAGCGACCGCTCCTTGTCGCCAAAGGTAATGCTAACTTTAGTGGATAGAGGGTGTGCACGTGGTGGGGTGTTCGGTTTTCTAAACCGGAGCCACTACTTTTCTATTCAAGTAGCTCCTCAGTTATCCTCATGAGGTTGAGTGGACCCCGTTCCAGACCCACTACTTCTCATAAAATCTGATAGTCCCGGGAATCGAACCCGGGACCTCTGGATCTGTAGCCAAGAACTCTGATCACTAGACCACAGAGGCTGTCTGCTGTGGCATCAGTGACATTACTATTGACCTGTGAGTAAAATTATGTTTTACTGTTTGAGACAACACAACTTTTCAGTGTGTAATGTTTTAATTTGAAAGTCCACTACATGTTTCACTGTTTCCCACCACGGCTATATATAGTGGCAGTAAGAACACATAACAACATACACAATGGAAACCATAATACCAGCCAAGAATAGCTCCATGAAGGCTTGTTATCATGGAACATAATAGATCTATCCCTGTAATGGGCCGTGGAGGCCTATAGGCTTGTGAGACATCGAGGTTCCCATATTTTCTAGACAACTGACTCTCAGGTGGAATTAAGGTTGTCAGCCTTATGTACAAGCCACCCTTTACACCCCAAGAAGATTCCTGGTTCTCATTTCTGTTAGAGGCTGAGTAGACCTCAGAGCCATAGTGCAGCTGGAAGGATTAGGTCAATTGAAAAAGAATCCAATGACCTCATTGGGAATCAAACCAGCAACATTTTACCTTGTAGCATAGTGCCTCAACCAAGCCTTGGCTAGAACTGCTGCAATAAAATGTTCAATCTGTCTCATCTTATTTTAGTATACTCACACACCCATGAACACACACTAGTAGATACATAGGATTCTAGTCATTGACACCAAGATAACTCTAATTTTATTCACATACATAAAAATATATGCGCCTTCTTCCTTTTACTTATATTTTAATGCTCCTTTACTATATTCTATACTTTTGCTATATCATTTGACTGTATTAATTATCTCAAAAGAAATTCATACCTTCCTCACATAGAATCCAAACATGAAAGAACAATGTAAACTTATGGAACACTGCATGTATGTTCAGTAGAGTATGTTTCCAACATTGTACAACCTGAAGATGACTTAAAAAAAGTCTGAAATATGCAGCAGATTTTTAAATATAAAGGATTTGGCATTCAACAGTCTTTCTCATATATAAAAGAATTTTATGTTACATCAGAGCATGAGAATGTATGATCTAAAGCTTTCACTACCAGCTCTGGCACTCTGTTAAAAATTACTGTCATTTCAGGGACCATTAGACCAGTAGGGACCAGTATGAGCCAAAGAAGATTTTATCAATTTTAATGCAAATTTAATGCAAACAGATTTCACAGTTTAGTAATAATTATTTTGTTACAGAGAAATTTAATGTGATTCTCATGGTCATCATAGCATTTGATACATTTGGATGACAAGTGTTATGAGTCATTTCAAAGCAAACTTAACTTGTCAAGAAACATCATTATTAAAGACAATTTATTTTCAGAAAATGCATGTGATGAAGTGTAGTTACATTTCGTCAACTCCAGTTCTGGTTACCATAAGCCTCACATTGCAGACTTCGAAATATGAAACAGAATATATATATGTAAGATTACGACTGAATTCCATCAAGTGCAACAATGATTTTTAATAATAAAATAGAGCCTTTACATACTCTGGCCAGTGATGTCCACCATTGGTGCACCGACAGCAAGTGATCTCTTAAGCCTCCCAACAAAATATAAGTGGGGATACACAGATAGACAGCAAAGTGATTTCACAAGCTAAAAAAATTAAGGGGGATATACAGAGAGACAGGCAGGATGGTGATCTCATAATATTGATGGCTGTTGATGTAGAAAATGCCATCATTCGTGGATAGAGGGTGTCACATGGTCAGTGCAACAAATCCGATCATACGTTAATTTTGGTTTCCAAGACCACAGTCACTGTTTCCTTGAAAGAGCTCAATTATCTTCACAAGGCTGAGTGGACCTTGTTCCAGACCCAATCCAGTAGCGCCAGGAATCGAACCCAGACCTCTGGATCTGTAGCCAGGAACTCTTACCACTAGACTACAGAGGCAGTGTTGGCACGAACTTCGCCAACAAGCGTCGGTCACTCGGTCGGTATTGTTCACTTGCGGACTAAAACAATGGAGTTAGTTTGTTTTTGTTTGATGTAGAAAATATCATTACAGAAACATCTGCCTTGTCTCTCCATACTCATTATCTTGCCTGTCAATTGAAAATGGAAATAGTGAATTTTTGGAATGTTCACAACTAAAAGATGTAAAACATTTTATTTTTGATGAAGGTCAATAACATAATAAACTCCGTGGCTTTATGCTGCAAACGAATACCGACCGAGCAACAGCTGCTTGTCAGAAAGTTAGTGCCAACTTCAGCAGACAGAAGGTGTCGTGTGGTCAGCACAACGAAACCCCATGGCAGTTAATTTCGGTTTTCTAGATCGGAGCCGCTACTTTTCTATTCAAGTAGTACCTCAGTTATACTCATGAGGCTCGGTGGACCCCGTTCCAGAATCGAATCGGGAATCGAACCCGGGACCTCTGGATCTGTAGCCAGGAACTCTGACTACTAGAGCAGAGGCAGTCCAATAACATTATATACATATCATCATCATCATCCTCATTGTCATCATTATCATTATTATTATTATTATTATTATTATTATTATTATATTATTATGTATGTGTGTTGTCTTTTCTCACCACATAATGGAATAACCATTCAAAATGTACTTATTTTATTTTTCTTGCCTGTTAAAGCTAACTTAATTTTTTTCTTGGAATTGTTACTAATTTATTGCTGTTGTATAGAGTGTCATATTTTGTATTTTGCTCTTTAATTTTTTGTGTATTTCTATGTACTCATGCTAACTTTGTAATTGGCCACTGTGTTGTTAAGTTTGCATGTAAATAAACACGAATTGAATTGAATTATTATTATTATATTTTTGTTTAGTTATTTCATTTTATTTTTTCCTACAGTATTAACCTTTAAGAGACGGCCATTTAAATTCCGGTAGTGGTAGCGGGACGGAGTTAATTTAAATGCCTGCCACTGTAGAGTAATAAAAATTGTAATCATGTTACTCAAAATGCTGTGATTTCTACAATTTTTGTGATAAACGAACGAAATAAACGCTGCTTTTATCTAGAAAGAATATAGAATCAGTTATTGTAATTTACCAATTTTAAAATCTCTAAAAAATTTTTACACTGATGCCAAGAAAAATTTTTCCCCTCAATTTCGAACGTCTGTGCACAAAAATGCATACAGTTCCTGCACAAAACATTTCTGCAGTCTGAATGCCTGCTGGTGACATCATGCTCTAACTATGGCTTGTGTTGCTACAAAGACAGATGTTTACGCTTCGTTCATCATGCTCCAGTTCGTAGGTCCCTTACGGTATGAACGAGTGTGGGCGATGTCTTACTCTTTCGCAGAAACACTGACTGTTTTATCTCGTATAGCCAAACAAGAAGTAGTCTGTAAGTTTTGAGGTTTTCACGGCGATGACAATGAAGAAAGTTGTCTTCTGGGTTTAGGCACCGTGTATTCTTCGTTTTGGCCGACGTTCCTCCGAAACGTCGGCCAAAACGAAGAAGACAACTTTCTTCAAGAAGTAGTCTGTTTTGAAATATAGCCGAGCAGTGTCAGAACGTTCAAGGCTAGCGTTGTGTTTAGCTGTCCACCATGGCCTCGTATGTGGAAGACGCTGAAATTGAGATGTAACCGTTCATTTGATTGGAGAACTGT